TTTTTTTTTTTTTTTTTTAGATCAAAATAGGTCACCACCTACGAGATTCACGTAGATCCGATTTTTGTTGTAGTTGTATTTATTTACAAGTTTATTTTAGTGCTGTCAAATGATTAAATCGCGATTAAATCGCACCCAAAATAAAAGTTGTTCATAATAAATGCGCGTGCACTGTGTATATTACATGTATATAAATACACACATATGCATGTAGAAAATTTAAGAAAAATGTTTATAGATTAAATTTATATATAATATAATATGAATATAAATTTATACATGTAAATATTTTCAAAATATATACTGTATGTGTGTATATATATATATACTTAATAAATAGTGCTGTCAAATGATTAATCATCTATGCAGACAAATACATCTCGCAGTTTTCCACTTCTCTCTCCATTAATATGGCCATTTTTCTAGAAATATCAGATATTTGACTGCAGTGTCTCGACAAACAGATGCCATTTCATCACTTGTCAAATGATAATGTTATACCAGGAGTGATGAACGTCGGTCCTGGAGAGCCACAGCTCTGCAGAGTTTTGCTTCAACCCTATTAATTAATGTGATTAATCGTTTGACAGCACTAGTTTATTTACAACGTGATTTTGCGGCGTTGAGTATTGTAGCCAATCACAGGCATCTCCAGCAGCTCTGTTGAAAGCAATGGCCAATCAGAAGTGAGGCGAGTCAGAATCCGCTCTGAACTCATTTTGGTGTTTGTAAGTTTAGAGTGTTCTACACGCTCATACACGGTGTAAATAAGAGATTGACTGTGTAGTTAGTCATTGATTATATCAGGAGTTTTTGCGCGAGTAAGCTATAAACCGAGCAAAGGGCTCCTCTTCTCTACATAATCCATTGAAGAAAAGTTTTATTTGTCTAAGGGGACCGAACGTCCACGTAGCCTATACTGTTTCAGGAGTGACAAACATTACGCGAGTGAATCCGCTAAATCGTTCCGACCGTCATTGATCTGACAAGCCGATGCCAAAAATAGATCTGTGCATTAAGCGATGCAGAGTAAATTCAGAGTAACAAAACTACAACAGCAACAAGTCTGTGTTGGCTGAATATATTTAGCAGCTTCTACAGTTAAAGAAAACTTAAAGCACTTTTTTTTTTTTATGTGTCCTTTTTAAGGCCATTTTTTTAAATGTAGTTTAAATAAACTAAAAATATTTCAAAATATTTAATGCATTATTTTATTGTACTTGCTATACTACTTCTGTACAGTACTAAAATTTCTAATAGTAATTTTATAATAAATCCAAAAGCAACACGTGAAAACGGCAACTGAGCTAATGAGTGATCCTCTGCTGCCATCTACTGGATATAATGCTAATTCCATGTCATTTTCATCTTAAAAGTCTTTTTCACCATGATTTTTTGCACATTTTTTTCACCAGGATTTTTTGCACATTTTTTTCATGTCAAAGCCATGAATGAAAAGTGAATCTTTAAAGTGAATTTTACTGCACAACTGTAGAGTTAAAATTAATAAAGGCTTTAAAACATTGTATAAGCGTTTAAAAAAAAAAAAAAAAAGTGTTTTTTTGGGTTGCGCGTCTTTTTCACCCACAATGAGTTTGCATCCCTGAATCTGCATTTTATGCGTTTATGTTGTGAAGGAGTTTTCAGACACGACTAGAAGCAGTGATTCTCAACCTCTGTGACTTGAAGACCCCACATTGTCCAACACAATATTTGAAGATATTTCATCTAATATTTCTGCTCTAATATTTATGACAAAACTTCTTGTTTTTAAACGTTATTAACAGAAACCGGGAGTGTTAATATTAAATTAACCATGATTCATGTTCTGATTCCAGAATATTCAAGACTCAAATTATGTTCTTAAGCTAAAAAAAAAAAAAAAAAAAAAAAAAAAGTGTCTAAATAAGTTATTTTCCAAATTTGAAGTTGATATAAAAAAACTGAGGTTCATATGCAATTTTGTTTAGGTGTTATCCC